CACAGCTCATCTGGGGAAGTCCTGGGTGCTGATGGAAGCAGTTAAGCTGCCGACTGTGTGCCCAGGCTGGTCCCCACTGGGCCAGGCAGGCTGGCTGGCTTGTGTTACAGTGGCATGGCCGGGATTCAGGTGGGGATGTTGTTCTCGCCTGCCCTGCTGCTCGATTTAGACAGGGTATAGGGTTTCCTGGAGAACCGGCAGGGCTTGGCTGCGTGGAGAGCCTCCCTTACCCGTGAAAAGTATAAAGGTTAAAGTGTGCTGCCGAAGTTGTGACAACCGCGTAGCTAGGGAACCGGCGTGCTTGATGCTTTGCCAGATATCCCCAGGACAGGCTGTTTTCCAGCTGCAGCCAACGTAGACTCTGGCTTAAGTTCCTGAATGGGGAGGGGAAAAAAAAAAAGAAAAACAACACAACCACCCCAGCCTAAGAAATCTCCGTGGTGGTTGGTTTGGTTCTACGCTCTGCAGAGACCTGGAGCGCCATGCTGGTGATTGGGGTGTGGGGGTTTTGGACTAAGGCCTCTGAAATGCTGGTGTACAGCAGCTATTGCCCTTCTTGCAGTACTACAAATCTTTCTTGCGAGGGGACTGTCTTTGGCTTATTTCTCTTTGCCCACGAACGAATTTTGTCTTGCAACAGTGCCAAACCAGGGGACAGCCATCCTTCACGCACACCGCCTTTGGAGGACCGTTTCCATGGCTGTGGCCGCAGTGCCTGCTCTCAACTTTGCTTCCTCGCCTTGTCCCAAGGCTTCACGCCCGGACACCAACCCTGACGCCCAGTGAGCGTGTAAGATTGCAAGCGCCCCACGGAGGCTGGCTGGCTTCCAGGCAGGCTATCCTGCTCTCCTTGGAGAATTTTATCCCAGCTTTCACTGCACCAACCCCTCCGAGGGGGCTGCGGGGCATGGCTGGGGCACGTGGGCTCCTGCTCCCCTGCCTGGTGAGTGGATGTGGTCCTTTCCCACGAAGTTTGCTGTGAGGGTGCAGAGCCCAGAGGCTGGCGGAGAGGTGGCAGCGCGTGCCTGAAGTGGCATTGGTGGCTTCCAGGTGCCTGGCAGCCCTCGGCCAGAGGAGGGGAGAGGCAATTCCAAACTGTACGTTGGCGATGACAGTCGGTGGGCAGAGTCCCCGCTGCCTGAGGCACGACGTCTCACCAGTTACTCCTGCTGGTGTGTCCCGCAGCGGCTGAGTTGGGGGGATTCCTGCTTGCCATGGGAGCAGTGGCTGTGCCAGGAATGGGTGGTGTGAGGGCCGATGATTCTCCAACCTCTGCATGTACACAACTGCACCAGTGCTGCAGGTCAGAGCTGTGTGCCTGCTCCTGTGTGATCTCTGTTGGTTCTCATCACATTCCAGGTTCTGCCCTTGGTCTTGGGAAGAGGGATGCTCTCCAGCATGGAGCCAGGCTCGCTGAAGCCACAAATCTGAGCTCTGAGGGCCAGAACGGGAGAGCCCAGTGCCGGCTCAGGAGCCCCCAGCTGCATCCAGCCGAGCAAGCATTGCTCTTGCATTGAGGTGGCGGTGGATGCCTGAGGTGCTTCTGCCACCGCGCTGTTGCTGAGGGGCTGCTGGTTTTGTTGTCAGGACTAGCTGGGCTCCAGAGGAGGCAGCTCCAGCCATGGGTTTTGCTTTCTCCTTAGCTTAAACCTTGCCTGTGGGCTGCCTGTGCGGCAGGGCTTTGAGTCACGGCTGGAGGCTGCAGCAGGGAGGGAGGTGGAAAGGCTCTCTTGGCCAGTGCTGTGATCAGGGAGAGCCACAGCAGCACCAGCTCGCTCCCCTGCTCTCCAGCTGCCACCTGAGGCTGGAGCAGCATCTCTCCCATGGGTGAGGTGTGTACCGGCCTTGAGCTGCTGTCTAGGGCAGGGGAAGGGCTCAGGGGAACCTTTTGTTTCTTCTTTTGCGCTGCTCACTGGTGGTCTCTGCAGCAGCAAGGAGGGCTGCAGTCCTGCCCCACTGGCTGCTTACTCCTGCGTGATGCCCCAGACCTTTGTGGTCCCCCCCGCAGCTGCCCAGGGGCACGCAGGACAGCAGCACCTCCAGGACAGGGGGATGGCTGTGTCCCCATCCTGGCTTGTCTGACTCTGGTTGCTACGTGTGAACAACAGCTCCTCTGCGTACCACGGGCTGGCTTTGTCAGAAGCTGGTGGCTCGCTGGGAGCTGGAATTTGGCAATGTGGAGCAGCACTGTCCCTTCCCCTGCCTGGGCAATGTTGCATCCTCCTGAGAGGTGCTGCAGGCAAGGTGAGCACTGCTCCTGCGATGCTGCTGCCACCTGTGTTGGTGGCCTTGGCTCAGCTCGGCCATACGTGAGTCCCACGTAGGAGCAGCCAGGCTCGGTGTCTGGCAGAACTTGAGCTCCACGTGGCTGTGGGATGGAGAGCTTGAGAGGAAAGACCCGGCCATCAGCTGGCAGGGGCTGATGCTGGGGGAACCTGTGGTAATCTCAGCCTCCCTGGGGGCATCCAGCCAGCCCTGCCCGGCCCTGAGGAGAGTCCCACTTCTCAGCAAGAATCCCACTTCCCAGCAAGTGCCAGCACTTGGCCCTTTGCTGTCCCGGCTGCCGGTGGAGCCTCGTGGGCAAGCAGGATGCCTCTGCCTGCACCCAGCTGGGGTAGCACAGGATGCAGCCTCTGCCATCTCTTTTCCTTTTGCTACAAGGTTCTCTCACTGCTTTATCTCCTGTCACTGCGCCGCAGCCTCCCCTGTTCCCTCCAAAGCAGCACCAGCTGCGGGCGAGGGACCAAGCCCTTCCTCCTTTGCACTGGCATTCTTGCTGCCCTGACATGATAAATGGATGTTCTGCGTTTTTAATAGTTGGTATTATTGGAGTGCTTTTGCCTGGCAGTGCTGGCTGGGGAGGGCTGGGTCCAGTTACCGGGGGTTCCTCCTGCAAATCCCCCCCTCTCCTGCCCACCTCCACCCCCAGCAGCAACCTGAGCAGCATGCCCTTGGTGAGCAAGGCTTTCCCCCTCTTAAAGTTCAAAGATTTAAAGTAAACAGGGCTCTGCTGAGTGGGGGAACCAGGTGGAAACCTGGCGTAGCCCTTGGGGATCACTCAGCTTCAGGACCAAGCCGTGCCCTTGTCTAGCTCTGCTCACCATCTCTGCAGCCCCTGGCACGGCACAGCCCCCAATGCCCCCATCCCCAGGGACTTTCCATACCCGGGTTCAGCCCTGCATGGTCCCTGATGCCATGCCCTGGGGTGCAGCACCCTGGCAGCATACGTTGCACCTTCAGCA